TTCTAAGATGAACGGCTCAGTCCTATGCCCAACTTTTGAACACCAAGCTCAGAGAGGTATATATAATTTGGATATTAAACAGTTCAGGGCGGCTGGGCCTTGTTCTAAGATGAACGGCTTAGTCATATGCCCAAAAGGAAGAGAGAAGTAGTTGTGCAACCTGTTCGTGTATACTCAATGGCTGAGTCAGGCAGGTTCCATAAGATTGGACGACTTGACTTTATGCCCTATGTAAGCTGGGTATAAAGGGATAAAGCATTGAGAAGTTACGAACTATTGTTTGCAGAGTCTGACTTGGTCTGGTGAGAGTACTTACCTTTGTGGTTTGGTCTGCATGTGACTGAGTGAGGCTACTACTTGATCTGAGTTTCAGTTTGACAGGTAGTTGCTTTAGAGGCTTGCCACGTGCTAGAGCAATATAAGTTAGCTTCAGTTTCTGCATTTTCTGAGCTAAGTTTTTCTTACTTAGATCAATTCTCACATTTTCTGGGATCTTTTATTATACTTGGCTTTGTATAAGTTTTGGTAAACCACTTTCTCTACGGGAAACGCTGCCGAAATTTATGCAAATCCAAGGAATTAGTTAAATTTTGACTTGTCAAAGTTCAACTTGTCTAAAGTTTATACATGACTTAGTAAAAATCTGGAGGGTCTCCTTGTCAAAGTTCAACTTGTCTAAAGTTTATACATGACTTAGTAAAAATCTGGAGAGTTTCCTTTTCTAAAGGGAGTGCTGCCCAAATTTTTGCTAAATCAGGGAGTTAGACAAAATTGAACTTTGGGGAGTCGAAGACTATTTTCTGTTTTCATATTCGGGCTGATATAAATTCTGAAAAGACACTTTTCCTACGGGAAGCGCTGCCGAAATTTTCTTAGTTTAAAGGAGATAGATTATATTTTGACAGGTGGCGATTCTGGCGATCTACTATGTATAGGGGAGATTATGCCAGGGTCTACCTTTGCTTTGGACACTGCTTAAAGGTAGATTCAGGTTTGGTCAATTAGAAGGATCTTGAGTGAGAATGTGTCATGGAGTTGTGTTCTCCATACACTTATGAGTTTAGCTTGGGGATTGGTCTGTCATGTGTTACAGGTCCTCTGGACCGTTTGATTCAGGATCTGGACTAGATTCAGCTCGATCCTACAGGGATCATCTTCTGTTATCACTGATAACAGGTCGGTTGTCGTTCGTCGGTTTACAATTCAACTCCAATTCACTCCTGCCACTCAACCTAAAGGCTTTAGCCTTGAGATTTGAATTGCTTTGTTGTGTTTTTACCCGGACTTTATTGAATGGTCATCCAACAAAAGTACTGAGTACTTATTTAAGAGTTGCACGAGTGAGGCTTGTATGGCTAAAGCGAGGGGTGTGAGTGCGATGAATGGTTGAAGTTGACCCCGTGTAGTGCATTGACTTTTGGTTGAATCTTTGATGTGATTGTAGGTATGATTGTGGTTCGGCTTCGGGATGTGACTGCTTGCGATTACATACTTATATGGCTGAGAGGAGCCCCACTGTGACTGTGAGAAGTGATCGTCCTATATAAATAAGCCTTGTATATATATGCTTATATGCGCCTTGGGTATGCGCGCGGCTTACTGAGATCGTGCGCAGGGGTTAGCCAGATTATAGCTTGAGAGAAAAGGGGGACCCCCTGTTATCCTTTGCTTTTTAGTATTTTTATAGTCGGACGTTGTAGTCCGTGGCAACCGTCAAAGTCAAACCCCTTGACTTTTGCCCAGGCCCGGAGTAGGACTTACCCCTAGGGCCGCAAGAAACGATTGCCACCACAGGCGCGGACCTGTGTACCACCCGCTCTGCACAGAGTGCAGAAGAGGGTGTGTGGTCTTCAACCGCGCATGGGAGTTGTCCAGCGTCGAGAGATTAACCCTCAAGGCGCGTGTCAGCCGACACTTGAGTGTCGAACGCGACCCTCGAGATTAACGAGGGTTGCGCGAGTACGGGTACTACATGGTACGCCATCATCGCGATTGCTTGCGTATGTTTGCATTGCTAGTCGATATGAGTTAGCCCTGCGTCAGCGCGGTTTTATACTAAGTCTCGCGCGCGACGCCTATTCGATTTCCGCGCTGGAAAGTTGTGCGATGGTTACCGAGGGGCTAGGAGCGTTGTCGCGTTGTTTGTGTTGTGTCGTTTCATGTGCGCGTGTGTGCGTTTTATTTTTTGTGTTCGTAAAGTGGTGTGCGCGTGGTGTGTGGGATGCGTCATAGTCAACCGACGATGAGTCGCGCTTGGGACTTCAGCCCCCCAAGATGTCGGTTCGCGTGTGGGTCCGATAGGCGTATTACCGCGCGTACCCCCTATGCTACAGCGAACGAGAAACGCCCTCGGCTGGTCCACCTCTGCGATTGCAACTGATAAGCTTTCGTACTGTGGACAGGTAGCTCGGCGGGGATACGCCCACCGAAGGGAGGTGACAACTCCCGTAAGGTGGAGGTAAGTTGTGCCTTGCGTAGGCCCTATCCTGTCGTAAGGGCTCGCGAGAGGTATGGCTGGCGCACTCGACCGGAGCGGCCTAAGGAAGCTCTATTTGCGCGTTCGTGACGAGGTTGGTCCAACTCCTGCGTGACGCGGCCGAGAGGGTCCCGCGCTGCCGCGTGCGGCGCCGAACCGATGCGCCCGACAACGTCGTCGGGAGGGGGGCAGGCGGAGTAGACTGCGCCGCCTGGGGGTCGTCCGATGGGATGTGCGTCACTAGAGGGGGGGTAGGCAAACGGATAGTCGATGCCAAGTGGGCCACCAGCGGAGGAGAGATCGTCACCGATGGGAGAGTTGGCAGACAAGTGGTCGATGCCGGGGGAGGATTGCAAGAGAAGGGGACAATGTTCAGGTGGAGGAGGGTCCGACTGTCGCGGTGGAGGAAGAAGTGGGAGTAGAAGGGTCGGGTCCCGCGGAGCGAGGGGCAGTTGGTCTGTTGGTGACCTAACTGGCAACAGCGAAAACACCCGTTGTGTTCTTGGAGGTATATGCGTTCTGCGGGTGTAAGTTTCTGGAGATGGCGGGGTGAAGAGGAAGAAGGCGGTCGGGAGGCACGATCCTAGCATTCCATCGGCATAAGGTGGGCGGCCTTGAGGTCCTCAATGGTGAATTGGGAGGGGTCGAGAGAGGCAGTGTCAAAGTCGTAATCGGAGGTGGGTGGAGTGGTGTCGTCAGGGGTGATGTTATGGAAGAAGCGGGGGCGGGAGGGAGCAGGCGCGGACTGGTGATGGGGGTGGAGGAGTCGATCGTGGTGAAGCATGGGAGAGAGGAGGTCAGCAAGGGGCATATCGGGTTTGTGGGCGAGGGCGGATGCAAGATCTTTGTGGCATACTCGCTTGATGCGGGAGATGAACGCAAAGGCGGGAATGACGGTGGTGGGGAGGTGATGGCGGAGGGAGCGGATGTATTGGACAAAGCGGTCCGTGGGACCGGTCTGGCGGAGGTGACAAAATTGTTCGAGGTAGTCATCGATGGTTTTCTGGGGGCGGAAGGTGGCAGTGAGAAGGCTGACCCATTGGAGGAAGGAGTGACGCGGTCCTCCGGCAGCGCGGCGGTTGCTGACTTCAGCCATCCACCATTTGGCGGCATTGCCGAGGAGGCGGGAGGTGGCAATGGGAAGCTAGTGGACAAGGGCATGTGGTGGAGCTTGAAAGAGTTCTGGAGCTGGGTAAGGAAGAGGAAAACGTCCTCGTGGGGAAGGCCGAAGAAGGGCATGATGTCAGCGGATCGGAAGGAACGGGGGATTTCCCCTTCGCGGGAAACGATCCGGGCGAGGGTGTTGAAGTTGAGGTTATCGGGGGTAGTGTCGTAGCACGTGTAATCGAATTGGCTGTTGTCGTATAGGAGGTAGTTGGGGGGAAGTTGTGGCATTGCGGGGAAAACCCCGGAGGTGACTTGGGAATAGGTGGGACGGGGGGTGGGGATGGTGGAGGTCGTCATGATGGGTTGTGAAATAGTATGGGAGTGSGGGGGGGGAAGAGGGGTGACGAGGTTAGGCGAGRAAKGAGGCGGTGTGCTGGAAGTGCTGGATGAGGGGGGGGAAAGGGTGCAGGAGGCAGAGGTGGTGGATGTGGTGGTAGAGGTAGTAGGAGTGGAGGAGGTCGGCGGGGGGTTGTGGCTGGAGGTGGCTGTGGACGTGGGGGTGGTGGTGGTGACCACCTGGATGGAGGGAATAGTGGTTTGGGACTCGAGGGCGGTCAACCGGCTTGAGATGCCAGCGACGGAAGTGGAGAGTGTCCGGAGGGAGTCCTGTACGGACCGAAGGATGGAGAGGAGGGATGGGTCGGGGGTGTTCTCCCCGATGGCTTGTTGGCTAACGAGTTCGCGGTGGATATCCGCCACGGAGTCGTTGCGGAGAGAGCTCGTGTTGACGCTTGAAGCACCTTCGGCCATTGGAGAGGACGAAGGCGAGGTGGTGGAGGAGGATGGAGCAGTGGAGGTCGCGGCGGCGGCACGTTGGGAGGTCTTGGTTTGGCGTGGTGGCATGTGGAGATGGGGGGGGACAATTCCTTATTTATTCTCATTACAAGAAATTCGAAAATAAATAAATAAAGGTAATTGCCAAGATTTTTCAAAAGGAAAAGGGAATAAAATTGGGAGAAGGAGGGGGGGGGGGCAGGAGTTAATTTTGAATAAATTTATTCTGACAGGAATTTTACTTATTCGAAATTAATTCAAGAATATGGGTAGAACAAAATTTTGGAAGAATTCGAAGGAGAGATTTGCAAAACAATTTTTTTCGGAAAATTGCCAAGAAAATAAACGCTGAAAATATCGAAAAAAAAAATGATTGATTTCGAAGAAAATAAAATTTGAATTGAATTTAAATTTATTCAAATTTTATTTACGAGAAAACATGAAATTTAGGAAAGAATGAGGTAATTCTGGAGTACAAAAAAGAAATTCTAAAAAAAAGGAAGAGGAGATTTTAAAATTTTTCGCAGGATTAGGAAAATTCCGAAGGTGAAATAATTCATTCTAAAATATTTTTAAAGTGTGAGAAAAAATTACTTATTTTCAAATTAAAGTAAATCTGGAAAATTATTACTATTATTATTATTATTATTATTATTATTATTATTATTTTTTTTGAAAAGTGTGAGGATTGAGCCCTCAAGAAGGGGCCTTGCCGTGATGTACATGTTCTGGGCTAAGGCCCCCAGCAAGCCTCGTGCTTGCCCTAAGTGAAGGCGGGCCAGCAAATCAACAAGAGCCCTTTGTTCAAACATTTCATGAAGTGGGGTCCATACAGTCGCAGCACGCCAGTTGGTTGGAGTGCACCGAGTCTCGGATCTCTGCAAATGCGGAAATCCCAGGGCCTCTGAGTTGGTTAGGCCCTGGGCACATAAACGTGAGGCCGACAATGCATGCTGGATATAGAGGCCGAAAATGCCAATGGGAAACCGGCCCACTATCTGAATCTGGCCGCAGGCCTTGATGAAAGAGGCGCAACTGCATCTCCCGGGCCCCAACCGCATCAGGTCTGGGTTCAGGTACTGAGGCCCAGGCGCAGGCTGAAGGGAGGCCGCCCACACGCAACACTGGCATATAGGCAAGCAGGGCGAGTGGGCAGGGATCTTGGCCAATGCAGGCATTGCGGGCACGCTGCTGCATTGTAGCGCTGCACTGCGCTGCAGCTGAGGGAAACAGGCTAGCGCTAAGCGGTAGGTCGCTGCCTATGCGCAGGGCGCTGGCGGCCATAGCCGGGCTGCCTGAAGGGCGCAGAGGAGGTGAAGGGCGAAGGTGGTTCTTCGGAGGTGAAGGGCGCTGTGTGGGATAACAAGGGAGAGTGAGGGAGAAAAGAGGGACGTACATGGTGGAGAGGAAGTCGACATTGGTGTTGACATCATCACTCGCTGGTCTTCAAGTTGTCTGGTTGCTTTCATGTTGTAGTTGTAGTGATAGGCTGTAGAGTAGATAGGGCGCCTGACGCCATTCAAGAGAGAGAGCTACATTGGGTTACGCTGTTGGTGTTGCCCGATTGGGCTTGGACATTGACTCACGATTCTTCTGTATCGTTCTTAAATGGATGGTTACTCGGTTCCATTGTGCTATCTACTCTTGCTTTGACTACTTGGACTTCAGTGTGATTTTGCAATCTGGATTTCTGTGCATCGACCACATTCATGTTCCTTGCATTTTGGTTTCGGAGCTGGTTCGATTCGCCACTTACCTTGGTGCGCTGGCGTTATACAGACTTGGTGCGTTGATGATGCTTCTTTGCAGTTGGTTCTTGTGACGTCAGGCCAACATTAGGCGCACGACCTGGGTAGAGAGGTGTGCACCGGAAGGCTGTACGACATTGAGTGTCGTGGTTACAACGGAATGTATGATTGGTGATGAGAGCATGCTGATGTGGCATTAAGCTGAGGTGGCACCGCATTGCATTGTGAGTGGTACCGAGGCTACGACCGGTCATCAAATGCACACTCAGCTCAATTGGTGAGAAATCTGTGGTTGGGGGCAGCCATATCCAGGTACGTTGTTCCCTTACCTTATCTACTCTCTCAATCTCTTCTTACCGCAAGGAAGTGAGTCCAACTTGAGAGTCCTCTCTTTTGGTGAGGTGTCGTGTGCGCGCTACCTTGAGAGACGACAATCTTCCCGGAAGCATCTGGAAGGAGAAAGGGTGGTGCCTCTGAAGGGCCCTGGTCGAAGCACTGGGTCACGGTCACAATGCCAACCCAATGGGAGTAGGTCACGCATGCGATGGCTGCTTGTTCGGCACTTTGCTGCGCCATAGAAGTCGTGCCGGGTGTGCCAGCCTTTTATGAGACGTTTACCAGACCGTCTACAAACATTTTTGGTTGGGGACTCGGATTGAATCTGGCTGTGATCGTCGTCCTGACTGCGACGTTAAATAATTCCTGAGGAGATGGGGGCTCTCCTAAAATTCCTCGTGATCAGCCAGATCAACCGGGTGTAAGGCTCGTTCCGTACGAGGGTAAATAAGAGTGGACTGGCTGGCTTGCTCGACAATGACTTGGGCACAGGGGTGGGCCGACAATACACAAGAAGACACTGCTGCTCAAAGATGCTCTTCGGTATGTTGGATTGAGGGGAGGGTAGGTTCTAATTGGTGCTCAACTGGAAACACAACCATACCCACTATTCATACATCTGCAACATAGTCTTGTTTTATTATTGATTAGTTGGTTGACAGTTGCTGACACCTCACAGACAGATTAGAGTAGGACTATTGTATACTACCATAGCCAGTTCTATCTAATGCTGCTGTAAGTGAACTAATCACAGTAGAACTAAACTATGTTGACAGTCTTTTGTGAATGTTGTAGGCTGCCACTTGATCGGTAAAGTAGGGGACCTGTCGGACACAATTGTTTTTAGAAAATTAGGTGCCAGTCAGACACATGCTGCGGTAGGACTCCACTAGGGGGTTGTAGTGCAGACAGTGTTTGCCTAACTGATGAGTGGGTCAGACACCGATGAGGGTAGAGTTGACAATAGGAGACTAACACGTTCGAGGGCACTTAGGGTCCCGCACGTGTTTCAGGCCTTACAACCGGAAGACTAAGGACGGCTTCGTGCCGAACGAAGAGCCCGTGCTCTTGCAACAGCGTTGGCAGCAGCAAACGAAGCAGCTAGAGAGCAGGCAGCAGCAGCCAGAGCAGCAGCGATGGCTAATGGCGCAGACTCTGCTGCGTCCTCTTCTGCATCCTCGTCTGGGACCCAGTTGGGAATGCCCCTTGGGCCCACGGGTACTTTCGGTTCAATAAGTTCTGGGCAGTCTACAAGTCAAATGGCGGGCTCGCAGTTAAGCCCGTTGACCCCACGCGGTAGGGAGCTCCTAGAGCTCCAACAGGTCGAAAGGATCCGCGAGCGGTTAGAGAGGGAACTGAAGCAAGCAACCGATAGAGAAAGAGAGATCAAAAAGAGAACAGTCAGGCTTGATACGTTAGAGGCAGACAAGGCTGCACTAGAGGGTTTGGATGAGTCAACCATGACTGACCAAGTAAAAATATTGAAGAACAACATGCTGTCATTGCATGCGCACGTGGACAGCAGGTTAAACTTCATGCAGAACTCTTTAGACCAGATCTTGGACCTTTTGCAAAGGCCAGGATTCCGGCCAGCAGCACAGTTGCCGTTGCCGTTAACGGCGATGTCAGGCCCCTTTCCGGTACAAGCTGGCACACGATCAAGTGGTACGTCTGCAACAGCCGCACAGACTGTTGCTTCTTCTTCTTCTGGGTCAGCGGTGGTTGCTACACCATCACCGCAACAATGTGTTCCTCAACAGGGACAGCAACAAGGTCAATGGTACCCAAAGACCCCGATGAAACCGCCCCTTGCCTTCTCCGGAGAGAAGAAGGACGAGGAACTCAACACATGGTTGGGAACGGTTCCAGTTTGGGTAAAGGTGAAGAGGACTTTGCAGGAGGAGGAGGTGATTACTGCTGCATCTTACCTTGAGGGTAAGGCAGCCAAATGGCTGGATGGTTTAGTTTCAAAGGCCGGGTACGGACGACACATGGTGGACTGGGCTAAAACCATTACGTTAGACCAGTTCTTAGAAATGGTAGAAGCTCGTTGGCACAATCCACAGCAAGCACAAATTGCCACTGATGCGATGCACAGACTAGACCAAAGAAAGTTCAAGTCAGTCAGGGAGCTTATGACTACCGTAGAGAGCCTCATCGTCGTTCTTGGCATAAACTACGATGACCAGTTCTTGTTGACCACGTTTGTGAGATGTCTCCCAGAGAATCTCAAAAATTTGCTGGTCAGTGAGGCTCGCCTTGAGTATCACTCATTTGAGACCTTGTCTAGAAAAGCCTTAGATTTAGAGGCCACTCTAGGAAATGCTCAACCGACTTCAGTTGACACAAGGAAGAAGAAGAGTCCACATGAATGGAAGAAGAAGGGGAGCAAATTGATGATGGTTGAGTCCGATGGGACTCAAACAGAGATCGAAGAGCTCACAGACCTGTTGGACTATACAAAGTACGACGACGAGGAGATCGCTGAGGGTAGCACGCTCGCCGCAGTAGTTAAGACTAAGGCTGGTGCCGAGGGAAGGGCCATCAAAAGAATCAAGGGCAGGCCGCCTCCAATCAGACCAAAGTTGCTGATTGGGTCAAGGCAGGTCTTGATCAGGAAGTGTGGCGGGACCAAAGAGTGCGTGGTGCTTGCATCAACTGTGATGAATACGGACACACCCAGTATAAGTGCAAGAATGCAAAGGTCACGTAGAAGATACCTCCTAAGATGGGGGCACCTTCTTCCCAGGCTTCTAGCTCGGGAAACACGTAAGGTCGGTGGAAGTTTTAGCTGCTTCTACTCAAGATGAAGTGGGCCAGATACCCTCCCCACTTCATAAGCAGGCCATAGCTAGTGATTCTTTAGTCACCCTGCAGACTCATCCAGACCAAACCATGCTCTGTACGTTGGATGTGTCTGAAGCCTTAGAAGATTTGGAAAGTGAGTGGTCAAATAAGGATCCTCGTGAATCTTGGGTGGCACTAAGGAAAGGTCCTAGAGGGGAACATTTCGTTGTGGAAGTTGATGTAGGAGGCCGCAAATGTGGTGCCTTCATAGACATCGGCTCCACGCGGAACTACATAAGTCGCGACTGTTTGGAAAGGCTGCACCTACAGGACCGGNGCCTTCATAGACATCGGCTCCACGCGGAACTACATAAGTCGCGACTGTTTGGAAAGGCTGCACCTACAGGACCGGGTACAACACCTTAGTAGACCAGGAACATCTACTTTGGCCAATAAGGAGCGCATGATAGTCACAGACTATATCAAGGATGTAGTTTGCACCTTCTCCTATGGAGGAGGGGAACTTAATCACAAGATTTCGTTCCTGGTTAGCGACGACTTACCGTTTGATATGCTGTTAGGAATGTACTACCTTGAGGTTGCCAAACCCCAGTTTGACTGGGACAAGAAGGTGCTAAAGCATAAGTTGCCTGATGGAAGAACAGTTAGGCTGGCTAAGTTCAAAGCCAGTAGTATAATCGATACCTATGGCTGCTTGTGCGCATCAGCGTTCTATAACTATTACAAACAGAACCAAGAGGGTATGTACCTAGTGTATGTCTCTGAGAAAGGGGCGGTCGTTAAAACACCCCCAGAGATAGAACACGTCGTTGCTAAGTTCCCTGATCTGTTCACTAAGCCTACAGGAGTCGTAGAGAGGGAGATTGTCCATGCCATAGAAATCATTCCAGGGAGTAAAACCCCAAAGGGAAGGATCTATAGGATGGCTCCAGCCGAGTTGGATGAACTTCGGCGACAACTGAAAGAGCTGACAGAGAAGGGATGGATCCGGCCGAGTACTTCCCCCTACGGATCGCCAGTAATATTTGTACCAAAGAAGGGGGGTACATTGAGGATGTGCATTGATTATAGAGGCCTCAATGCCATCACAGTGAAGAACGCAGAGCCTCTACCTCGCATAGACGACCTATTGGATAGGGTGCAGGGATGTAAGTACTATAGTAAGATAAACTCAAAGTCCGGCTACCATCAGATCGCAATAAGACCCGAGGATCAGCACAAGACTGCTTTCCAGACCAGATACGGTCTGTATGAGTTTGTAGTGATGCCCTTTGGCCTTTGCAATGCGCCGGGTACATTCCAGCACGCCATGAATAAGATCTTTCATGACCACTTAGATAAGTTCGTCGTTGTCTACCTTGACGATATTCTTATCTTTAGTAAGTCTGTCGAAGAGCATGCACAACACGTTCAGACTGTACTCTCACTCTTGCGACAACACAAGTATAAGGTCAACCTAGAGAAGTGTGAGTTCGGACGTACTAAGATCTTATACTTGGGTCATGAAGTATCCGCGGAAGGTATTAGGCCGGAAGATGCGAAGGTGGCTAGTATTAGGGACTGGCCACGACCTCAGACTGTTACTGAGGTCAGATCTTTCTTAGGAATGTACGACTACTATAGGAACTTTGTGAAGAATTATTCCACAATCGCCTCTCCTTTGACTGATCTAACTCGGCTTGATACGCCGTGGGACTGGAGTGATGAGTGTGAGGCTGCTTTCAAACGATTGAAGCATGCACTCATGAATCATGAAGTTCTCATGGTGCCCGATCCTCAGAAGCCATTCATAGTGACCACTGACGCAAGCCAATACGGCATTGGCGCAGTGCTGGCTCAGCAGGATGGAAAGAAGTTGAGACCGATTGAGTATATGAGCAAAAAAATGCCATCTAAGAAATTGGCAAAGTCCACCTATGAAAGGGAACTCTATGCTCTCTACAAAGCACTTGTCCATTGGAGACACTTCCTGTTGGGACGATTCTTCTACTTGAGAACTGACCATCAGACCCTCAAATGGATCAAGACTCAACCGGCTCTTTCTGATGCACTTAAGCGCTGGATTGAGGTCATAGATCAGTATGACTTCAAGCTTGAGTATCTAAAGGGAGAGTACAACAAGGTTGCAAATGCGCTATCTCGTAGAGCAGACTACCTAGGGGCGCTAGTTTATGAGTTTGGTGTATCTGAGGAAGTAACTCAATCATTGGTGGGAGCCTATCAGGAAGATCCTGTCATGATGGACATCATCCGCAAACTTCAGGCAAAAGACATGGCCACAGAGAATGAGTTTGTGATGGTGGATGGGTTACTCTTTCTTGATAAGGCCGGGTGTAAAAGGTTAGTAGTTCCATCGAGTGAACGTTTGCGTAGTTTATTTCTAGGAGAATGTCATGACGCAACCGGACACTTTGGCTACAAAAAGACGAGTGCCAACCTGGTACAGCGATTTTGGTGACCTGGAATGCTAGATGACGCAGAGAAGTATGTAGAGACCTGTCAGGTCTGTCAGCGGGACAAGCCGCGAACTCAAGCACCGCTTGGGTTACTGAAGCCCTTACCTATCCCCGCTGGTCCAGGAGAGAGTGTTTCCATGGACTTCATGGACACCCTGGTGACCAGTAGGAGTGGCAAGAGGCATATCTTTGTCATCATTGACAGATGCACCAAATACGCTAGACTAATTGCCATGCCAGAGACCGCAAGGACTGACCATGTCATCCAGTTGTTCATGGACAACTGGGTGCGTGATTTTGGATTACCAATGTCAATTGTTAGTGACAAAGATGTCCGATTCACAAGTGAGCTGTGGAAGAAGACTGCTGAGCAGATGGGCAGTCAACTTCAGAGGACTTCAGGGAATCATCCCGAAGCCAACGGACAGGCCGAGCAGATGAACAGGGTTGTACAACACCTGCTGAGGCATTACATCAAGCCCAGCCAGGATGACTGGGATGAGAAGTTGCCTCTCATCGCCAGCCTGTACAACAACGATGTACACAGCAGTACCGGCGTTAGTCCTAATCAGCTACACTTGGGATGGAAGCCTAGATCAGCGTTGGACTTCCTCCTGCCTGAAAATCGACCCTCTGCGACTCCCGGCACACTTGAGTATGGTGTGCAGTATGAGAAGTTGCTGCAGCAAGTTGTCGAGCACATCAAGAAAGCTCAACAAGCAATGATTGCTTCTGAGAACAAACATCATCGGCAGTCCTCATTTCAGGTAGGGAACGTGTCTGGGTCAAGGCTAGTGAGCTAGGACAGGAATTCGGAATCTCTCGCAAACTAATGCCTCAGTATTTTGGTCCATGGGAAGTCCTGGATATRGTTGGGGATGAGATGGATGGTCCTACCTATGTTATCCRTATCCCTGGTCATCTGCGCACTCACCCTGTCTTTCATGCCTCAAAGCTTGCACCTTTCGCTGAGACAGATCAATTCCCTTCAAGGAGATCGATGCTGCCCCCAACCATGGATGGTCAAGTGGACATCAACGACATTGTGGATCACAGAGACCTGCCTGTTCCAAAGCCACTAGGTAGAGGAAGACCTCCTAAACCCAAGAGAGAATATCGCGTCAGATTCAGGCATCATACGGATCCAAAAGAAGATCGGTGGTTTACTAGAGAGGAACTGATTGACACAGCTCCTCAAGTGGTGGCAGAATATGAGAGGATGCTAAAAGGGAAGGCACCTGCGAAGTAAGCATCTCAGCGGACTTTCGAAGCTAAGGGGGACGGAATGTGAGGATTGAGCCCTCAAAAAGGGGCCTTGCCGTGATGTACATGTTCTGGGCTAAGGCCCCCAGCAAGCCTCGTGCCCGCCCTAAGTGAAGGCGGGCCAGCAAATCAACAAGAGCCCTTTGTTCAAACTTTTCACGAAGTGGCAGCACGCCAGTTGGTTAGAGTGCACCGAGTCTCAGATCTCTGCGAATGCGGAAATCCCAGGGCCTCTGAGTTGGTTAGGCCCTGGGCACATAAACGTGAGGCCGACAATGCATGCTGGATATAGAGGCCGAAAATGCCAATGGGAAACCGGCCCACTATCTGAATCTGGCCGCAGGCCTTGATGAAAGAGGCGCAACTGCATCTCCCGGGCCCCAACCGCATCAGGTCTGGGTTCAGGTACTGAGGCCCAGGCGCAGGCTGAAGGGAGGCCGCCCACACGCAACACTGGCATATAGGCAAGCAGGGCGAGTGGGCAGGGATCTTGGCCAATGCAGGCATTGCGGGCACGCTGCTGCATTGTAGCGCTGCACTGCGCTGCRGCTGAGGGAAACAGGCTAGCGCTAAGCGGTAGGKCGYTGCCTRTGCGCAGGGCGCTGGCGGCCATAGCCGGGCTGCCTGAAGGGCGCAGAGGAGGTGAAGGGCGAAGGTGGTTCTTCGGAGGTGAAGGGCGCTGTGTGGGATAACAAGGGAGAGTGAGGGAGAAGAGAGGGACGTACCTGGTGGAGAGGAAGTCGGCATTGGTGTTGACATCATTACTCGCTGGTCGTCAAGTTGTCTGGTTGCTTTCATGCTGTAGTTGTAGTGATAGGCTGTAGAGTAGGTAGGGCGCCTGACACCATTCAAGAGAGAGAGCTACATTTGGTTATGCTGTTGGTGTTGCCCGATTGGGCTTGGACATTGACTCACGATTCTTCTGTATCGTTCTCAAATGGATGGTTACTCGGTTCCATTGTGCTATCTGCTCTTGCTTTGACTACTTGGACTTCAGTGTGATTTTGCAATCTGGATTTCTGTGCTTCGTCCATATTCATGTTCCTTGCAAAAGTCATATTTTGCAAGAAAGGAATTTGGAATTTTAGATTAATTTCAAAATGGGATTGAAACTAAGGAGCAGAAAAATTTTACAAAATGCAATTACCAAAAATTTTGAATGAACTTGAAATAAATGGCTAATTAAATCAGGAGGGGAATGAAGGACTAAATAATTAAGTTAACCGGGCAGAGAGGGGGGGGGGGGGAGTTAATCCTAACTACGTGTTGATATGGGTGATGGTACGGGGGAGTATTGGGATAGGTAGGG